TGTAACTTACGAGATGAAGAATATCTTAAGGCTTTATTTCTCTAAAATTTTTAGTTTAATATTCCTCGATCACTTCTCCCAATTGCGCATCACGAGGTGCCAGCTGCTTGCTCAAAAAAGTACTTGAATGTTCATTAAGTTGATTTCCGACAGAAAATCGAGTGATATTTGATGTTTCAAACTAAATTTCTTCCTATAGGGAAATTATAATGATGCATATTTACTCTAAGCGCACCATTGATTGGTCATTATTAATTTTTACTTTTCAATTATCCAAAAGTCATAGCTAGGAAAGAGTTGTGGGAACAATGTGACTTTTAAGTATCTGCACTATATCACAGCAAGTTGCAGGTAAATAGCATAAAAAGGATTGCAATCAATACTTCATTGAAATCATTCGACGATATTATCTCCTTTAAGCTTAATGCCTACTCAGTATACACTTAATTTCTATATAACAACAAACATATGAAACATATACGTTAATTTCTATATGTTAAATACCCTCCTGCTATAGCAAAGCCTAGAGAGACATGCCAAATTGAATGCTAGAGAGTTGGAATTAAATGGTACTGCTGTGTATGGCATAAATCAGTTCTCTGATTGGACACCAGAAGAATTTAGAGGTTGGTGACTGTTTTATATTTTCTTTAAAAAAGGGCTCATTCAATCTCCTATCTACACTTGAGCAAAGTGGCCCATTCAGCTGTCTTATTATGGTTTCTATAGCATGGAATGACAAGGAGTATTCTACCGCCCCTCCCAGGATGGGATGCTGGTCCTTTGCAAGGTAACCCCCCTCCTATCTTTTCATTCTACTTGACCCTGACGATTTGTTGGTACCCATTTAAGTACTCCGGGGTGGAGAGAGGCATTGTTTGTCTGAGTAATAAAAGAACCTGGCCAGGTCTGAAACTCTGAGAGTCCATCACACTAATCATAAGGTCACTGGGTCTCTCACTTTCCCAGGTTCTGATTGAAGTATGAAGTAATCAGTGTTAGTAAGCTCCCACACTCTGTGGAGTACAAATAACACCAAATCATTTTTCTGATGACGAAGAGTTGGAATGGCTGGTGAATATTGATCCAAGTTTATAAGATAAATTGAATGAAGAAAACCAGTTAAACAACAATGAAATGTTATCATTTATTGAAGAAAATAAGAAAGAGCAACATGACAACTTGCTAATTCCATTTTGCATTGCATATTGCACTCCTTGTAAATAAATATTGGTGAAATTTGTCACACTGAGTAACAACTTGGTGTGTTGAGTGATAAATAATTTATCAGACGTTTTCGGTGTGTGGTATCAGGGAGTATTTTTACATTTTTACTTGTATTTATTTTGACTTGCCCTACCAGCTCATCAAAATATGGCACAACTTGTAAAAATACTCTGCAATAGCAATAACAATAGCGATTACAATAGCAATTACAATAGCAATTACAATTACAATAGCAATAGTAATTACAACAAAACTTCTAACAAGATATAATTTTATATATCAATTTCTCTTCTTCCTGGATGACTATGGCATTGACCACTTCATGCTGGGCAACCTATCTGCTCCCTGCAAAGTTGAGCAATTACCCATGAAATCTCCCAGGCAACGAGAGGTGTTGTAGTTAGTCCAACATCTTCCTCACCAAAATTAAAGTGTATGGCATCCCACTTCATGCTGGTTAACCTGTTAGCTCCCTAGGAAGTTGAGCAATTACCCATGAAATCTCCTCGGTAAAGAGAGGCATTGTAATTAGTCCAGCATCTTCCTCACCTAAATTAAACTTGATAACCCTGGGCCATATTCAACTTTCTGTTGCATGAAGTAATTAACTCAACTGTTTGTAATTTGCTTAATGGGTTGCTAGTTTAGTCCAGCACTGAGAGCCTTCCAACTATTTTGACTGGTGCCCCTAGATAATTTTTATCATTTTATGGTAAAATATCTTTGTGAGAGTTGAGATCTCTACCAGAAAGAGTTAAATATAATGCCTTTAAAAGAGGAAATTAAAATGAAAAAAATGTCATTGATCTTAAATGCGTATCCCTTCATTCCTCCACAACTGGGCTTGTTGCTGTGTCGGTGCATAAATTTGTTGTTGTCAAGAGAAAAAAAAGAGATATTTATTATAACTTTGTATTATTTATTGCTTTTAATTTGCAGGATTTCTTAAAAGAGGGATACAGGAAGATCATGTCCTTTTTGCTAATGATGCCATGACACCTTCTGGCTGTTGTACACTAGAGCTGAATTCTTCCAATACACCACCTAATCGTGACTGGTAAGTAAGCAGAATACACATCTCATAGGTAGAAAAGGAAAGAGAATTAAGTGGATAATTTGATTTGAATTTTGCAAAGTCACAAAGTCATCTAGAGGAAATGCATGTATGTGCATTAATTTGCAGATTAACAACATTAAAAATGATGTATATCCAAAACTATTTAACAAGTTCCAGTTGTTTGAAGACTGGATAATTTACTATCCACTGCCAGGATAAATTTTTATCTCGTATGACTAAGTACAGTGTGTTTAAGTTACCACTTAC